CCGATGTAAATATGCTACGTTTACACATTGTAGTTCAACACGTATGCGCAAAGGTTAAATGTCCGCCTCACAATGTAGCCACAGTATAGCATTTACGTATACACAAAGTAAGGGATACACAGTGTGCCGTAGGATACACAGTGCTTGTGTATTACGTTTAAACTATGTTTACATATTGCAGTTGTGACTACCGCGTTTATACGTATGTATTTTGCTTCGTATATACATCTTGTGCTAGATAAAACTACTTCTTATGAACGAATTTAGGAAAGAATACAAGTTTTGATGCCTAACTTTTCGTTCTTTTTAAGAAATATTTATTCAATGATGACCAATTATATCTTTTTAGAGCGAAAATTAGGAAGGCAAAACTTTGTATTTTCCAAAAGTATCTCGATCGTAAGTTCAAGAGAAGTAGCCCTAAAATTGTTCCATTTTTGTTTTGTATTAAATGTACCATTTTTCTTCCATAAAATGGATTAAGAGGTTAAAAAATAAAATTCTTATATTTCTTTATATCATGGAACGCAATAGCGCAAATAACACAATAATAATAATTATTTACACTGCAGAAACCAGAAGTAAGAAAACACTGTAAAAGAACAGAATTTGTATCAAAATGTATTAAAAATATAAGTACCTAGTATAACAACATACTAAAATGGTAAATATTGGTATATCGCCACGATTTGATGGACCTCGTTTAGTCATTTTTTTCTCCTCTTTTCCCTCCAAGCAGTTGGTTTATTAGCATACTCATTCATCGAGCACTCTGTTGGACTTTGTTGTATTTTATTTCCAGATTAACAATCTCACCCTTAAATTTTATATGAAACTGATTATTGAATATTAAACATATCTGTATATTTATCCATCAATAACTTACCGAATATCAGTGTAAGAAGTTCTTTGAAGTGTTTAAATCTTTCTTTCTCTGGTCCATTTAGATTTTTATTATTTCCAAATTAAAAAAAATTATATTGCAGAGCTAACTCAGCTCATTATACGAGAATATTTGGAGTTTTCATTCATTGGAGTCAAAATTTGGTAAATTGGGTATCGAGTAAGGGAAGAGTCGCTGCTATAATATTAATTTTCTCTTAGGAAGGTGTAACAAGGTAATTAAAAACTTGTACTTACCTTAAAATCTCTTTTAAATTACACACAAACAGAACATTTATATAGAGCTTCCGAATGATAAAACAATAATGGCTGCTAAACACATACCACTCCTAGAAAGGAGAAAGGAGAGAGGACACATAAGATACACTTGGTCGGTGTATCTACGCTGAGGCTATCCGCGCATGCGCACACCTTCATTTCATGCTAGAATGTAGACACAACAGTACACTATTACAAAGTGTCTATATAGATATTTATATTATGTGTATACGTCACATTTTTACAAGGTGTGTACTATAGGCACAAATATGATACGAAGTATCACACATACATATGACTTATACATTGTATGTCTCATATACCGACGTCAGATTTCATCATTTTAATAATTATTTGTTACGTTACAAAAAACTTTTTAGAATCTTGAGTGCATAAGGTATACAACTAGTAAACACTGTATCACACAATTCTATCAATATAAATCTGCGTGTATCTCATATGTATATGTTAGAACTAGATGAAGACTTAGGCTCACTTTAACATATGTTGTTTCTTATGTGTCTCCCTTGTAGAAATGTAATTTCATTTGGACGTGCTATATGGGATTGTTCTTCCATTTCCTCCTCGATGTTCCTTCTGCATATGTTCCACCTGTCGCATGTAAAAAAACGTATGTGTTCTGCGTCGTCATAACCTTCGCAGTAAAGGCATACTGGTGATGCTACCTTTCTCATTTTTTCTAAGTATGACAGAAAATAGTCGTAGTAGCCGCTAAAGTTTATCATTCTATTACAGTTCGCCGGCGGTTCTAGGACTGTACGGTCTGAACTGAAGATCTAAGTTTGTCAGGCCACACACAATGTAGTTACGTCGAATGATGCGATCTTCATTTTTGGGACTGTCAGTTTTTGAACTTTAAGAAAAACTGTGCTTTCACTACACACACACACAAACATGTCATCAGTTTTAATCGATTGATATTGAAGTGAAAAATGTTTTTAAATACAAAAAATACACTTCTCGTGCTTTTGTTACTTCAAGAGCCAATTACAAAGACAAAAAAGCATTTCTGGGTGAAAGATTGGTTGTTACAACATGATACATTATCTCATATGAAGTGCGAAAATTAAGAACTAGTGCAACGCTTTGATAGTTCTTTCGCGCGTTTTAAGTTCTTTAGGAAAGCACTTTGCAAATTGTTTATTTTTTCTTTACAGAATCAATAGGTCTAGTAGTATTTGTATCAACAGTTTTATAAAATTCCAGCAATTTTTCATAAGCTTTAGCCTTTTCCTGTCTGTTGAATAAACTTTACTTTTAACTTTCTATAGACAGGGAAATTGCCTATAGAAATCAATAAAATCGGTTAAAAAATCGTATTATTACTGAAATCGCTCATCTTGATAGTACAAAACTTACAACTTGTCAAATGATGGGAACGTAAGATTAGAACTGTCGATTTTTCGCCATACATTTCAGTCTGCCGTGAGATTTAAGTAATCTGCAGATTCAGACCTGTCGACAGCCTGTATATATATGGAGAAATTTTAACTGACGATATGCAATTCGACAGTTCTGGACTGCCGGCGAACTGTATGTGAATGGGCACCTTAAGAAACTCGGTCAAATAGTATTTTATTTCCCCTTGCTGCCTTTGTGTCCAGGTTTTCACCGATTTAATCAGTCACGCAGTCCAAGGACCTCTACTCTCCTGTTCCTACAATCTCTGCCAGGCTTAATAAGTCCTATTGAAGTTAATGACATTAAGTTTTTTTTTAAATTTAATAGAATTATTGGATTAAGATAAATTAATTAAATTGCGTTTATATCATCGAGGAGATCGAATTGGACAAAATATCAAGATACAACTTTTAATGGGCTGGTTAAAAGTTCATTAAATGACCTCCACACTTTTGCGAATAAGGGGAAAAAAGTTAGTGGCGCACATATTTTTTTGCAAATATTCCAGTGACGACCCATATGCACGTTCCTGGTGAATATGTCGACAGTAATTGATTGAGTTACTGTCTGATCAAGTTCGAAATAACAATGTATACAGGGTGGTCCGAACTGTATTCCGGAAACATATTCGACAGCATATTCTGCAGATAAAAATAAGTAAAAAAGTTCGTATAAATGTATGTCCTAAAATGCTTAGTTTCGGAGATACAGGGTGTAGAAGTTTCATTTTTATTTCGATTTTCTCCAAATAATTTCTGAAGTAAAGTCAATATTTGAATAAAAATTGGTGTCTGGGAGGCTTTTGACATGAGAAATTTGATTTTGATGTCAATATGGCTCCTACTAGTAGAGGGCGCCACCTAAATATTTTTTAACCGGTTTGAAGAGTAATAACTTTTTGTCCGTACCTGTATATAACTACCGAGTAAAAAATATATATTTACGACGTTTTCTATGTAAAAAAAGGTCTCTTGATAAAAATCGCTACGAGTAATGGTTTTCGAGATATTTGGAATCGAAATTATCAATACCTGTTATCATTGACATTAATTAAACATGTTGACTAAATAGTTATTAGACTGAAAGCATAAATTTGAAATATTTTTGTGCCAAAAGTTCAACAGAAACTGTTTTATCATCATTTTTTGCAGAAAAATTTATGATTAATTAAAAAAAATAAAAATTTCTCAAATTTATTATTTCAGTGAAATAACTATCTACTCAACGTGTTTATTTTTCGTCAATAATGACATGTATTGACTATTTCCATTCTGAATATCTTAAGAATGGTTGTTCGTAGCGATTTTTACAAAGATATATCTTTTACGTAAAAAGTCACAGAGATGTATATTTTTTCGCTCGGTAGTTCTATACAGGTACGGACAAAAAGTTATTACGCTTCAAAACAGTTACGCTAGCAAACCAAACACTAAAGTCCCTAGATATATAAAGTACCACAATTGGTTTGTTCAATGTTATTGGCGCCAAAATGGCGGATTTTTGGGGTATTTCTGGAAAAACTGTAGTGGTAGGACTGTTTAAATGTCACATTTGTCTGAATTTGTCATGTCAAATGTTGAGAGGCTGTCAATTTCAGGATAAAAATATTTATCCACATATTTTAAAATAATTATAAAGCCACTAAAATGCTACAAATTTATTAGTTAATAATGTATAGGCGTCGATATCTTTAGTGAAGAAATGTGTATTACACGAAAAGGCCGCTTGATGTGAAAAATTTGATGTGTTTTCTAACATCGTCGATATTCAATACACGTTAGGTAGTGGATTGAATTTATTTATGCTCCAGTGAATATTTTTAACAATCTTATTTGTAGTATAACCTACTGGTACATAAAACTTCATTATAGAACAAGACAAGACCACAATAGATCTGAGAAGGTCGCAGTGGGTCAGGCCGAAATCAACCTCTAGAAATCTAATCTAGAACAAGACAAAGACCTTACTTGCAAACTACCATACATATCTTTTAAAAAGGATGCTAAGTGTAAGTGAAATCTCTACGTAATCATTCCCTAAAATGTTTAGTGTAGTTTAGTTTTCAACATTTTGCAGCAAGAAGTTTAGATAAATCTACAATATATTATCATCAGACCAAACGAAGGATAATTATTTAAAAGAATAAGTTATGTTATGATACATATATAGATTTGGATGACATCGCTTCAGGTGGTTTTACCAGTCAGGACTAACAGGGATATTAATCAAAACAATGAAAAAAAGCTCAAATAAATTTGATCCTAATAACAAGAATGTTGTTTATGCATATGCTAACTATATAGTTATTTTCATGGACTTAAATAGATTAGTTTTTATGTATTTATTGATAGTAATTAATATTTTTTGGTTCATATTGTAATTACTAATAGAAAGTAAACAATATAATGTAAGCATGTAAAGTTATATTTAAAAATTTGGTCTTATACTGTCAGTTATAAATAAAAGTGTGTGATTTAAATTTGATTTTTATACATGACATAAAATTGTTAAGATTCATTTGAAGTTTTACATATTGTCGAGGTAAAATTATTCCTACTTAATTTATGTATAACAATAATTACAGTTATTTCAATGTTAAATTTATAGCAGTATAACTTTTTTATTATAATGATACTTAAACATTATGACACTTGTTGTTTTAAAAATATAACATTAAATTGCAGAGTAAAATATATTTTAATTGTATTATGTGGTATTAACTTGCTTTTATTCAACTAATAATAAATTTGTTGTATAAAAACCACTCCATAACAAACCTTAATTATACAGCATACATAAAGAGCTCTTATGCATTTCAAGCTTCTTTCTAAGTTATTTTTAAATTAAGTGCACAATTACATACCTAAAATGCCGAAACTACCTGAAGTAATACTAATTGAAACAATCTTTCTATCAATATATTAATATATTTCAAAAATAGCAGGTATGTATCATATCAATTTAATTATTACATTTATTTGTTTCAACCATGGTTCAAAATTTTCTCGTATAAAAGCCGCCCTTCAAATTTAAATTTGTAGCTTATTCATAGTTCCAAAGACTTTCGTTAAATCATGCTTATTTGTCAAAACTAACTCCAGCATAACTGGTATAATAGGGAAAGTTTACTTATGGTATAGGTATCCCGTTCTCATCAACAAACAAAGTTTTTCCAATTGTTTCGACTGAATTAAGTACTAAAATTCTAAATATTATTCCAACTTTATTTCTTCTTACCTATTAACTTACTTCTGTTGGCGTACTTTGCACTAAAAGGTAACATAAAATAAATGCTAATACAAATGAAAAACACTTGTACGGAAACCATTTGTTTATAACCTCTTAACATATATAGGCCTAAAAAATTAAATTTATGAAATTGAATATTAATATACCACCTGATATTACGTTAAAATGAAGGTAAACTGTAGATAATAAACGTAATTCTATTACAATTAATAAATATTTTATTTTACGGCTTGCCTGTCAATGTTGGTCGGCCATATTGGCGCCGGACCGACCATCTGCTTAAAAAGCCGAAACAGCGAAATGTTGGCCTCCTTTTTAAATTTGCCGCTAGTTTTGGCGCCAATATGGCGGTAATTGCGGTACTTTATATATCTAGGGACTTTACCAAACACATGTAGGTAGCGCCCTCTACTAGTAGGAGTCATATTGACATCAAAATCAAATTTCTCATGTCAAAAAACTACCAGACACCAATTTTCATCCAAATATTGACGTTACCTACTTCAGAAATTATTTAGAAAAAAATGAAATAAAAATGAAACTTCTACACCCTGTGTCTCTGAAATTAAGCATTTTAGGACCTACATTTATACGAACTTTTTTACTTATTTTTATCTGCAGAATATGCTGCCGAAGTTTCCGGAATACAATTCGGACCACCCTGTATATTAGCAATTGAAGGGTTTAGGGGAAATACATGATAAGCCCCATTTTACTAATTTTACAGTAGAACACTGAACTTAGGCGGTTATCAGGTTCTTTCCGTGTATTCTATATTTTGACCAGGCATATATCAGAGGATTTAACAACTTATTGCCCTGCAGATGGTGGTGGACCAGTTAGACCTACTAACTATAATATTGTAAAATCCTAAAATTAAGAAATTGGCGCTTATCAAGTTTTTTCCACGGACCTATTTAGATGTATTTGCATTTTGAATATTTTTATTTGGTGATTATTGACTGCATCCTTACTAAAATTAGTAGTTTTCTTAGTAACTTTTCTTAGTCACGACTAAACTTGCTGTTTCATAAAATGTAATGTTCTGAAAAAACTGGTATAACTTTAAAACTGTTAAATATTAAATGATAAACGAAAAAAGAAAATGTAGTGAAAAGGCTAATCTTTACCATCGTAGGTATGTAATTGCTTAGTTTCTTAGTCGTACCCCAAAAAAAACGTGTTGCAATTTAAATTTTAGTAAAAAAATGTTACTTCTTATTTTATCCTGTATTGTAAAAAAATGCGTGTGCACTATGTGCGCATATTTATAGTGAAACTTCTTACTTAATAATTCAAGTTACTCATTTTGAAAAAGACCAAGTTAATGGTCGAAACGTCATAAAATTACTTTGTTTTATCAATAAATAATCAATAAAATATTATTAATGAATTAAAAATATTTATTTACACCAATCATCTTAAACTATTATTACTATTACTACTATTACTATTTACATCAAATTATCTCAAATTTAGAATAAAATTTACTTAAAATATGTTTCATAAGGTCAAAGAATAATTGAAAGTAAAATATATTATATTTTAGAGATGAAGGATTAGATTACAACCTCCTCGATTACTATGACAGTTTCTACCATACCACTAAAAGTCTGTTAGTTCTTTTTCAAGTAATGGGAGTAATGCCCATTGAGAGAAATAAGGGATATACAACTTTTAGGTAAGAATACCTATGAAGCATTTTGCTTCTGCTATAACGTTCATAAATTGGGATTATTTTTTTAGATGGCATTCTCCTGCAATTCTCTGGTCTTATTTACTCTTCACCGGTGAAACGATATTTGTGAGTTTGGTCTTCAAGTCTCGCTTAGACCTGATCATGCAACCCGGTAAACCCTTTGATGAGTACGTCTACGGTATTATATTTTTAAGCATATTGATTCCGCATTTTCTTCTGCCATTGGTTGCTTGGAGCAATGGTGCCGAAGTAGTTAAGTTTAAAAATATGTGGACCAGATATCAGGTGAGCAATATATGTGCTATGTTGCGAGCTTTATACAAGGTGACCCATTAGTTCGAGGAAGTCTAATATCGTCGTTGGTTACAAATATACACGGTGCTACAAATTCAGGGTACGAGCATTGGTATCTCGATAACCGTAATAGATACGAACATGGTTCAATTGTCATCAAATGATGTCATCAATGAAGTTTTAAAATTTTCAAGAATTACTGTGTATTTTGAAAAAAAAACGGATTTTTTTGAAAATAAATTTATTTTTTCCTGCCATTTGTTTTTAGAAAATCAAAAAACTATAGCCGCTTTATTAGGGCTATCTGATAGTATTTTTAGATTTTCAAATTAGCTAATAATTTGTGACATACAGAGGCCAACGTAATCTTTTTAAATACGGATCTGCATTTTTTATTTCAGGTTTTGAAAGAACTCTGTCTCTTGAGTACAATGATATGCCACACTTTATACTTTTTTTACTTTATACTTTTTTTTGGGTACCTTAACAACAACAAAACTATTTTATTATTATTTAAAATAATTTGAAGCCCGACTCTTGTTTTTAAATTATTTAATCTGATCATATTCACAACAATAATGATCAGCGCTAATTAACATTGAGTAAGGAAAATCGAGCCCAATTGGAAGATTCAAATAAATAACATCATGGTCAGCAATTTAAAGATAATATTTTTAACTTTTTTACTGTGAATTTAAAATTTCAGTGTGCGATCTAATAATATGCATAATCGTAGTTATTATAAATGAATCAACTTCTACAATCTAGTTTATAATGCTCTACATGTTCGAAAGAGTTACCACCCTCCCTATTGCACAAATTTATTTTTCGTTCAATTTTATATATAGCTCTTTGAACTTTCTTCTTATACTCCCGAATGCATTTTGTACCCTTTATTGTAAATGTTGAGAGGTATTGATTTCACTTTTATAAATGACGTCAAGTAATGTTCCCCTCCCCGCCCCTTGGCGACAGATCCAGCAACCATCGATGGCTTATACTGCTCTACTATATCCAATACATTTTCCTGGGAAATGATTTGATTCTTTATATTATTTATTTTATATTATTCTTTATTATATTATTGCATTTGATTTTCCGTATTCAATGTTTTACGCCACGTCATTGTTAAGCTTGAAAGCTTATCAATATTGTAACGATGAATAGATTAAATAATTTAAAAAAAAACAGAGCCGGAAATTAGTTTAAATAAACTGTGTTTAAGTTTAAATGTCCGATGCAAAAAATATTAAGTGTGGCATATCATTTTACCCAGGAGACCGAGTTTCAAAAGTGTTGATTCAAAGCCTAAAATAAAAAAATGGCGCCGGGAGGCACGTATAGCCGCCCATACTAAAATATGTTAATAAAAAGTTGGTAGGCAGTTTTTTTAGTTTCAAAGTATAGGAATTTTTCCAATTTTTTTTGTCTCAAAAACTGCGACTTTGACTGATTTTGATGTTATTACAAATTTTGTTGCAAATATTATTCCTAATCTCAAATTGAAAACCGCGTTTCGCTAGCTACTGTAATTTTGGAGTTACGATTTTTTAAAATTTTTAACCCTCTCCCATACCCACTTACCAACCCCCCACCCCCACCAAAAACTAATGGTCAGATTCTCGGGTGCCACATTATTTTTGTGCCAAATCTGGTTAAAATTGGTTTAGCGGTTTTTGAGTTATCGTGTTACAGACGGACAGACAGACAGATAGCATGAAAATATTTTGTATTTAGGTCATTTATGACCCAAATAACTCATTTTGAATGAAATTAAAAAAAACTTTTTTTTGCCGATCTTAATAATAGCCTACTGTATCTCACAAATTATCAGTTAATTCGAAAATCTAAAAATATTATCAAGGCTATGAGAATGTGCAATTAGTTTTTTTGATTTTCTAAAAAATAACGACTGGAAAAAAATAAAATTGATTTTCAAAAAAATGTTTCAAAAAACTCAGCAATCCTTGAAATTTTTAAAACTTTATATATTTATAGTAGTACACTAGTATTCATTGAATTGAATCTTTATATCAAAACTATTACCACAGCTGTACTGTTACTAATGTACTGTATTTTTATTTTAGTTAAAATACCTCCAAGTAACAGGTGACCAAATAGTGTTCCATAATCTAGAATGCGTTTGTAACAGCCTTTGCTTAGTTTCATGGTTGGTAGGCGTAGTAATAATGATTGCTCAGTACTATTTACAACCAGATATGTTGTTATGGCACACTTTCGGATATTACCACATTTTAGCTATGCTAAATGGATTAGTAAGTTTGTGGTACATCAATACAAACTCGATGGGAAAAGTTGCAGGTCGGTTAGCTGTATTACTCAATGAAGCGTTGTTGGAGGGAAGTGCTGAGAAGGTGGAAGATTACAGGGATATATGGGTAGACCTGTCTCATATGCTTCAGCAATTTGGCAAGTATAACTTATGTTCATCGTAAATAAAAATACCAAAATTAGCATACCCAAATAAATCTTGAAAAAACTGAATGTCTTTATGTGAAGCAATTTTTGAAACCTTGTCCCACTGGTGTTATGTGAGATTTGTCTCGACCCCACCCCCCTTATTTAATTTCACCTAAGATATTTCTAAATTTGTATTTTGTCTATAAAGGCGTTAAATTTATTTAAATAAACACAATTTGCTTTATTATTTTTATTAAGACTAGTATTTGAGATTGTTTAGATTAGGATTACTATAATGAATAGGGAACATTCATTCTAATTCAGTCCAAGGAGACTAGTGCAGTCTCAAGAGTGACTGTTTGTACCAACAAATCAATGCGATTTTCAATAAAATCTTCTGCTCCTTCGCTCTAATTTAGCCACTTTACCGTTTTTACTTGCGTAGTAGCCCAAGTTCAGTAGCTCATCTTGTAAAATTTAAATTGCGCGTAATAACTTTTCACCCAATAAGAAATTGAGGACCACATTTTTTCGATACATCAATATTAAATAACTTTACATCTATTTATTGATTTTAACATACAGAAGAATTGTTTGAGATTTCGACATATTTTTGTCTAGAATCATGCTTTTTTTAAATTAATCTGATTTTCTCACATTTTTACACTATTTTTTGCCCGTTAAAAATTACGTGGTATTTGCCCACTAGTGGAATAAATTAGTAGTTTCAATTAGCGTAGAAGTTTGTTCCTTTAATTTTAATGTAGGCATTCAAAACGTCAAAATTGGTGGTAGTGTTCTTCAATTAGTAGAAAAAGTTAGCAAACTTTTGACTTTTCCACTAATTACACCCCAAAAATTGTGGTTAAAAATCGAAAGTTGATTTTTTTTTGAGGAGGAGGGGAAAAATCTTGCATAAGACACCGTTGGGTAGTGTCGGATTCCTACCGACTAAAAAAACCCTCCTCGCATTCCATCGCTCTATCCAGCTAGAAACCGCTTGCGCATTACTTCAGCTGGAAGGCTGTCTATGCGGTTAGGCCCCGCATTCTATTTCCATTGGTTTCTATTATTTCTCGAATGCATCTATATGTAATTTTCCATGATGTTTCACCACTTAGTAGCCCTTGCATCATATTTTTGGCATTAAAGACTTGTCCACCACTGTCCCGTTGGAATGACTCTCTAAACTGCTTCCATTCACTGCAGAGGAATAGTGTGTGTTCGACACTGTCAACTTCCTTGCAATACATACACAAATTTGAGGTGGATCTCTCCCTTCTATGCAAATAGTTGTTAAAGCATCCGTGCCCTGTCAATGCCTGAGTTAGGAAATAGTCCGTCTCTCAAAAGCTTCTGTCTAACCAGATATTAATGTCTGGTATGAGATCATGTGTCCATCTACCATATCTATCTAGATCCCACTCCTTTTGCCATTCAATCATCAGTATGCTTCTTGCCTCCAGTTTTGATGTCCCTTTGTATCTCTCCCTTCTCTCCTCTACAAGTAGGTGAATAGGCGGCACCCCGGATATGACATTTAATGCTTCAGCGGAGACGGTTCTATATGCACTGCAGATCTTGAGGTTCAGTTTACGGTGTATAGCTTTAAGTTTTTGCCTTATATATCCCTTTGATATTGCGAAGTGCCACACTTGGGCGGCATATAATAGTTGAGAGTGTGCTACACAGGCTAGGATTCTACGTTTGGAAGCAAGTGGCCCTCCCATATTAGGCATCAGCCTACCCAGTGCGGTCAAAGTTCGTTCCGCCTTTCGTATAACTTGATTTATATGCTCGCCGAATGTAAGCTTTGAATCGAGCCAAACTCCAAGATATCTTATTGCATTCTTTGGTGAAATTGTTGTACCGAGAAGCTCAAATGATATATGAGAGAGTTTCCTCTTGGTGGTTAATAAAACCGCTTCAGTTTTGTTCGGTGCTAGTTTTAAACCTTTGCGCTCGATCCAGTTGGCCACTCTTTGTAGCCCTGCATTAGCAACACTCATGAGTGTCTTTTCGTTTTTGGCCGTTACCACCATCGCTACGTCATCGGCAAAGCCGATTAGTGTTACTCCTTCGGGCATTGCCGTTTCCAGTAGGTCGTTGTACTGGATGTTCCATAGTGTTGGGCCAAGTACTGACCCCTGTGGCACTCCACTGGTTACGTTAATCTGCCTTTTAGCAGTATCGTCTTCAATTAAAATTGTCCTTTCAGAGATAAGATGCCACCATGTTAGTCAGAGACGAACTTATACCCCATTTTTGCATTTCGTCCAGAATGATCTGCCACGAAGCACTGTTGAACGCATTTTGCACATCTAGAGTGATTACTGCGCATAATTTTCTATTATTTGGTGCATAATCTGCTGCTTGTCTGGCAATAAGAGGTACATGTTCGATCGCATGTATTGTTTGTCTACCTTTTCGAAAACCATATTGGCGCGCTGAAAGAGTTCCTATTCGATCGAGTTCTTCATTTAGTCTAATAAGGATAAGGTGTTCATATAGTTTTCCTTCTATATCTAAAAGACATATCGGTCGGTATGCCGCTGATCCATCTTCTGAGTTAGAGTTTTTAGGAATCAGTACCAGTGCGGCTTTCTTCCACTCGGGAGGAAAGAGCAAGTCTCTTGCTAGGCGATTATAAACCTTCAAAATATACTCTGGTTTTTTGTCTATTAATTGCTTAAGTATTTCGACAGGCACGTTTCCAGGTCCAGGGGCTTTTCCGTTTTTAATTTATCACAGGCTTGTTTCAATTCATTTACACTAAAATCTACAAAACTATCTCTAATATTACAGTTAAATATCACGTTTGGATGAACAGGGAATAGCTTTTTAGCTTCCTCTGCCATTGCTTCAACGCTCAGCTTTGATTTAGAAGGAAACCCATTTATGCACTTCATAGCAATTTTGTACCCGTTTCCAAAAATATCACAGTTTATTGTGTCACATTATGCTTTCCACTTCTGTCTTTTCGCCTCTTTTATGGAGTCTCTGAGTATCTTCTTAGTTTCCAGATATTCCTCCCACAGCCTATTACGTATAATCAGATCGGCAGAGCACTGCCTAGTATAAGCGCGTCTTCTCTTAATACAGGTAGTGCGGAGATTGGCGATTTCTTCGCTCCACCAGTAAGCAGGAGGACCTCTCTTACAGGGTTTTTTTCTTTGGCATCGATTTGTCACAAGTTTTATTTAAGTTAAAAGAGAAACCTTTTAACGTGGTGGCATTGGCACTCAGATCTATATCATTCATGGCTTCTTGTAATTTATTTTGGTCTATTTTCCTATGCTGCCATTTTTTATAAATGTCATTACGATTTTTTATGGTTTGAGTGCTCTCAATTTCAAACAATACGTAATTATGATCGCTGAGAGTTTCCCTTTCACTGACTTCCCAGTTTTTAATATTGACGTTTTCTGTAGAAATTGTCAGATCCAAGATTGAGTGATATGACTGCCGCTGAAAAGTAGGATTTTCGCCTTTGTTTGCGATAATCAGGCCGTTAGCTGCTATCCATTCACTTATACATGACCTCTCTTGTCTGTAAAGGACATACCCCGCTGGGGCAACTTTGCATTGAAGTCACCTCCAATTATACAGGCTGGGTGCTTGCCCGAAAGACATTCTCGATTTCAAATAGCGATTGCTCTAGGTTAGCTATACTTGTGTTTCCCGTCAGATAACAGCTAATTACTACCATCATGTTGGTAACAATGTATGAGAATCCGTTGCCTTGCCCTGTCTTTTTTATTGTTACCTTTTTATCGAGTACTTTTATTGCTGTGTCTAACTTATTATCAAAAATCCAATATTTACGTTGTTTGATGGCATTTAAATTAGGTTCGCTAACGAGTAGGACGCTGATGTTCATTTCTCTTGCTGTGGCAAGAGCCAAGTCATGTGCTGGTCGACTTCTATTCAAATTGATTTGAAGGGCCCGGATCATGGTTTTGTATTACCTCTGGCGTCTTTTCAGCTTTCCCGCATTTGCTGCCGGTTTGGTGTCCTTCTTCGTTACAATTAAGGCAGAATGGTTTATTTTTGCACTCAATTGCTTTATGTCCACCTTTTCCACACTTCATACACAGGTTCTCTCTATCCGGCCCGGAACAATGTACTTTGGTATGGCCCAATTCCCAACATTTATGGCACTTGCTCTCGCTTTTCCTTTCCACAATCTTACAAGTAGACCAACCGACGTTGACTTTGCCTAATTGTATTAGAATTCTGGCATGATTTTCTTCCATTATAATCGTAGCATTTTGTTTGCCTCCAAACGCAGGTCTCATGGATTTAACTTCGAAGCCCCCGAGCGAATCAGGTATTAATTTCATGACAGCTGCTTTTATTTCTTCGGGCGTGGTGATTTCATTCATTCCTTGAATATGTAGGGTGCGTCTATTTTGGATAATTACCGTTTTTATTTGTGGTAGTTTTTCGCTGATTTCTCTTTTTAAAGTCTCAACCCTGTCGCGACCGTTTTGTATTGTAAGTAAAATGTCACCTTTTTTTGTTTTTCTTATGTTCTTGATATCTACGCCTAGTTCTTTTGGATTTATTTCCGATTTCACTGTTTTTAAAAGGTCTGCATAGGAACATCCATCACCGTGGATAACAACGGATTCAAGTTTAGGCCTCGCGTTGGTGGTTTCTTCAAATAAATTTGTGCTATTTGTTCTTGAGAATCTTCTCCCTTGTGCCATCTTGTCATATCCTTTTTTTGGACCGGCATCTCTTTATACATTTTAATTTGAACATCTGTATTGGAGAATAAAAATTCTAGCATTCTGAATATGGTTAGTCCGCATATACCTGGCATTTGAGGAATAGCAAGACTAGTTAACTTACGTTGAATAACGTGGGACTTGAGATTTTGTATACAACGAAGTACCATTTCATCCCTAGGTTCATCAATCTTACCATCTTTAATTATAGGACAAAAGATTTCGGTAGCTCGATATTTCATATTTCCTTCTTCATCAGGGAATCCTACAGTATGCGTCATGATAGCTACCTCTCCTGTTTTTTTCTTCTGTTCTTTCAGGCCACTTTTTCCACCAAACCTTTTTATCGCTTCAGCAGTGGATCTGGTGCTAGACTCAATATTCTCATTACATGGTAATATAACACCATGGTAATATAATGCCCGTCGGTACATCCCAAATATAATGATAAAACTTTATCATCCCAGTCTTGTTCAGATATTTCTGTAAAATCTCTATAGCACTCACTTTTCAGCAACGCTTTTCTTCTAGAACTTTTCGTCGCTTCTTCCCTACATTTTTGGCAACGATCTTTTTCGTCAATGTTCATAAGTTCGTGTATTCTCTTTGTCTGCCCTTCCATAATATATTTTAGTTTTTCATTTTCTTGCACGAGTTCTCCAATGTTTTCTACGGTGTCATCTGCAGCTTGCTTTAACCAACTTGTTAGTGCTTTGCTCCTTAACTTTTCGGCATAAAATGTCAAGCGACTGCTTATTTCCTTAATTTCCTGCCACGGTTTATACATATCTCGGACGAGCTTTTCTAGTCCGGCTATATCCTTCAATAGTTTCTCCATTGTTTTTGTAAAAACTTCTCCATCCTTGTTTGAATGCTGACTACTCTCAAAGTCCACGCGCTTCCTCTTAAAACATTTTTCGGGTGAATCGTTTAATTGATCTGCTCCAGGCAATGATAAAGTTCTCATTCTTGGAAGAAGAGCCGCAGTCAATCGAAAGTTGATTGTTTTATAAGCTAAATATTAGGCTCTCTCTATGGATACAACAAAAATGCCTAACGCAAGCTGTTGCTAGGATATTCTATTAATTTTAATTGTGTTTTTAGACATCGTATATGATCGTAAACTGAAAAGTGTAAAGCTTCATTCAGAACCTCGCAATTAGTGGAATAAATCAGTGTTTAATTACACTTTATACTTTTTAGTTTACGATAATTCACACCAAACCAAATCAAAAAAACACAATTAATATTAATAGAATATCCTAGTAACAGCTTGGGGTAATCAGTTGTATCCATAGATAGAGAAAGCCTAATATTTAGCTTATAAAACAATAAACTTTTGATTTCTAACCACATTTTCTCTTGACGGATGATAATCAAAGTCCAAAATGACATTCCTAGCAAATTTTGAAGTATAATTAGTGGAAAAGTTAAAGGTTTGGTATCTTTTTCCACTATTTAAAAATTCCTACCACCAATTTTGATGTTCTGAATGCTTACATTGAAATTTAAGGAACAAACTTCTACGCTAATTGAAACACTAATTTATTCCACTAATTACGAGGTTCTGAATGAAGCTTAAAGGAAACCACTATTTTATTCCAATAATTGGGGGGTTCTGAATGAAGCTTAGTCTATTTAATTTCCAAACAATGATGTAAGATGTGCATAGTCGCTAGGTGGGGAGTAGTGTCACCAGGTGACAAACAACTGAATATTGACGTCGACCCTTAAGCATTGAATGTTTATCAATGAATGGCATTTTCGTATTTATTGTTTGACGTGTCAAATCATCCAATCAGCATTATTGGTCTGTTAATGCCACGATCGCGTTACTGCTGATTTGATCATTTTTTAAATTCATATTATTGGAAGGAAATATGCCAATGCAATGTGTAGATAATAATCCCAACTATTTTTTTAGATCCTGTATGTTTGAATTAGAGAAGTCTTTGTTATTTTTCTTCTAGCATAAATAAAATTTCATCATATCATGAAAAAGCACGACAATATAGATTATGCTTGGTTCTGATTTAAACATTTCTTAAGGCAGTTTTATTTGATTAATTTTTGAACAAAGTTTCATTTTAGGTAAAGCATACAGCGGTTTGTATGCTTGCATGTATTTGCTGGTACCTGTAACAACCATAGTAGCCACGTTTGGATGTGTTACGGAAATATTGGATCACGGTCTCTCACTAAAGGAAGCTGGACTATTTATTATTGCTATATATTGTTGCATACTTTTATTCATATTTTGCAACGAAGCTTACAGAGCATCAAATAAAATGGGATCAGATTTTAGGTAAATTAATTTTATGAGTAATAGAAAAAATTGTATGTTTATCGAATACTCAAAGCATAATATTACCAATTTATTTATGAGTTAAATTTCACCGACATGTAAATTCTGTGACACTTGTATTATTTTTTCTTACTTGTTTGGCATTATTGCCTCACTCACAATACTTCAAATAAATGTAAGTTTTAAGTTAAGTCGTTCAGAGCTAGCTGGCTTTTTTCGTATTACTAATTTCCTAAAAAAATCTAACCATAGGTTCATTTACTATAATAAAACTTTGTAAGATTCCAAATTGAAAAATTTATTTTCTGTTTTTTATTAATACGTATTTTAATTAGTTTTAAAATTACTTCTACTTTTTAATTTGTTTAGGGATATATTAATGAGTATTGATCTAAACACCGTTGACAACAGAATTGTCCAGGAAGTAAATATGTTCCTCATAGCTATACAGAAAAATCCTCCCATCATGAACTTAAATGGATACACTAATATCAACAGGAAGCTTCTTTCTACAGTAAGTTATTTCGACATTTTAATATTTCTTTACATAGAAATTGCAATACTCAGTATCATCATTATCATCATTTTCAGCTTATTCAACCATTTCCAATTGTGTGTAGCCTCCTTCACATATTTAGATACTCTCTTTATAGTTGGGCCCATTGTTGTCTATCGTTGGCTATGCGGGTCCAAGTTATCCCTGCTAATTTCCTAATATATCATCATGGTCCCATCTCAAGTTTGGTCTTCTTCTAGGTCTCTTAAGTCCTCATAGGCACCATACTGTAATTTTTGTGGTCCATCTGTTGTCCCTCCTTCTTGCCAGGTGTCCTGCCCATTGCCACTCGAGAAATTTGATTGTGTATTAGTTGTCCCAAATATACAGGGTGTTTCAAAAAACATGTGACATTTCTCGTGTGGAGATTCCTCACGTAAAAATAAGATTTATTTTTCATATCAACATAAGTCCGATTCTGCTTTGTTACGTAGCTATAGCGTGTTAAAATCTTAATAATCTTTAGATTTATTATAATTTTCTTCCAAGTACTTTTAGTGATTGGAATGAAATTTTGAAAGTAAAAAATACTATAAGTGCTGCATATTTTAATGCTAAAAAAGTGGGGAAAAGGGACGTGCTTATGGGTTATCACTGGAATATTTAAAAAAAAAAACATGTGCGCCACTGACTTTTTTCTTTTGATATCAAAATTGTGTTGGCTCTTTAATGCCAATTAAAAGTTATCTCTTGATATTTTCTCGAATTCGGCCTCCTTCATGAGATAAACGCAATTTTATTAATCGCAATTAATACAATTAAAATAAAAATAAAATTAATAAATCATTTATTTTAATAAATTATTTATTTTCATAAATTATTTATAATTAATAAATTAATTTATTATTAAATTTTATTACTATTAGTCATTTTTACTGTTAGTCCAACGTACAAAAAAACTTCAAATTTAAAAAAGTTTTATCATCCTGTAATTCTAAAACTAAGCATTTCCATATCGATGTTTATAGGAACATTTTTTCATATTTTTTGGTGAGGAATTAATGAGTACTTATTTAAAATTTTCGATATTATTAGTTAATGATATTAAAATTTTTTATAGGTTGCTATTAGACTTGGATCAAAGCAAATTAAATAAAATTGCGTTTATCTCATCAAAGAGGCCGAAATCGACAAAATATCGAGAGACAACTTTTAATCGGCATTAAACTGCTTACATTATTTCGTTCACAAAAGAAAAAAAAGCCAGTGGCGCATATGTTTTTTTTTACAAAAATATTCCATTGATAACCCGTATGCACGTCCCTGGTTAATATTGTTGCGGACCCGTGTGAACTCGGCCTTAGGCCTGGCCACTCTGATATGACTCATACGTTCGACGACGTTCTAAGAACGCGGCTAAGAATTCTCGAGACAAATCTGGATTGTCTGTTTCTCTCCTATATAAGTCGGCACCTGAAGCCTGAAGAAGACACAGAAAAACAACCGGTCGACGCGTACAGTTACAATCGCCGCGCTAAATTCAAAATAAATTCCTGTTAGATAAATAGTTAGATAAATTGTAAATAAGTTATAAATAGTTCTTTAAGTCTTTTAATCGTTATTGTTTTTGTTAATTAGTGTTAAATAAATTGTGTTTAAATAAATTGTGACTTTCTATCCACACGGAACCGGCGAAAAACGTAACAATATGTTGACACTTTTCTAGCTTTAAAGTATGTCTCATTTATAGTAACTTTTACCCTCAAAATTTCATTCGAAATGCTAAAAGTACTTGGAAGAAAATTAAAATAAATCAAAAAAATATTGAGACTTTAACACTCTGTGGCTACAAAACAAAGCAGAATCGGACCTATGTTGATATAAAAAATAAATCTTATTTTTACGCGAGAAATCTCCCCACGAGAGATGACACATGTTTTTTGAAACACCGTGTATACAGGGTGGTCGGAACTGTATTCCCGGAACTTTGGCAGCATATTCTGCAGAAAAAAATAAATAAAAAGTCCGTATAAATGTATGTCCTAAAATGCTTAGTTTCGGAGATACAGGGTGTAGAAGTTTCATTTTTATTTCGTTTCTTTTTTCAAATAATTTATGAAGTAACATCAATATTTCAATGAAAATTGGTGTCTGGGAGTTTTTTGACATGAGAAATTTGATTTTCATGTCAATATGACTCCTACTTGTAGAGGGCACCACCTACATATGTTTTAACTGGTTTGAAGAGTAATAACTTTTTGTCGATACCTTTATAAAACTATTGAGTAAAAAAATATACATTTACAACTTTTTTTACATAAAAAAGGTCTCTTAGTAAAAATCGGTACGAGTAATGGTTCTCGAGATATTTGGAATTAAAATTATCAATACCTGTCATCATTGACAAATTAAACATGTTGACTAAATCGTTGTTATATTGAAATCATAAATTTGATTTTTTTGTGCCAAAAGTTCAACAGAAACTGTTTAATCATCATTTTTTCGCAGAAAAATTTATGATTAATTAAAAAAAATAAAAATTTATTATTTCAGTCAAATAACTATACTCAACGCGTGTGCTTATTTTTTGTCAATAATGACATGTATTGACTATTTCCATTCTAAATATATTGAGAACGGTTGCTCGTAGCGATTTTTACCAAAAAACATTTTTTACGTAAAAAGTAATGGAAATGTATATTTTTTTAGTCAGTAGTTATATACAGGTACGGACGAAAATTTATTACTCTTCAAAACAGTCAAAATGCATGTAGGTGGCGCCCCCTACAAATAGGAGTCATTTTGACATCAAAATCAAATTTCTCGTATCGCAAAACTCCCAGACACCAATTTTTATCCAAATATTGACGTTACTTCAGAAATTATTTAAAAAAAATCGAAATAAAAATGAAATTTCTACACCCTGTATCTCCGAAACAAAGTATTTTAGGGCATACATTTATACGAACTTTTTTACTTATTTTTATCTGCAGAATATGCTCCAGAAGTTTCCGGAATACAGTTCGGACCACCCTGTATATTTTTCTACTCTTTCCAGTGTTCTCTTTTTAAAATGTCCTTTCTGTCTACTAGTTCGTTGTACATTACTTTTAGTTTTTGCTAAATTAATTTCGATATCTACTTTGTAGAATGTAGAATGTTTAGGAGGGGAGTTAATCACCGCGACCTTATAGATCTCTATTGTGTGTTCCCCTTTCTTGAGTTATAACTCATCATACAGTCTCAGGGCTTTAAGAAAAGTCAGTATCTGAGACGGCTCCACAGAGGCCAGCTCTCCATCCTCGACATCAGACGTACCAAGGTTCATGGCACGAATGGTCGTCGTCTCTGCGCACTCATTGATAAGGTGTTCTGGTGTTTCCCCATTTTCCCCACAAAATCTGCATTCGCCGTTGTTTCTCAGTTTCAGCCTACTGTTCCTTGAGGTGACAGTGTCCTGTTAGAAACCAGCTCTGTCACGTTGGAACCCGCTTTATAGTAAACTTTTCGATTTTTGGCTTATTATCAATAAATTTGGAAATTAACATAGTTTGACATAATGTCTTTAGTTGTATACAAACTACAAACGATGCAATTGATTGTAGTAAATTCAATTTTTTTGTAGTACTAATAAGTAGCCAGAAAAAGTAAACAATTTTGCGCAATGTAATAAAGAATAAAAATATTTGTTAGCTCGTGGTAATAATTTATCCGATGGACTGACAATGGACTGCTTCGATTCCCAAAGAAAAACCAACGTCGAAGGACCACTCGAGAATAAACCCACAAATTGAAATCACTACTTTATTTATTATATTATAAATAACTCTTCACAATAACAAATATTAAAATTGATTAAAAATATTAATGTGGGAGGAGTAATTCCAATAAATTTTGGAACAGAACTTGAAAATTTGTTAAAATAAAAATGCGAATTGGCGCTATGAAATAATGCTGCTTCTAGCAAGAATAAAGGGCTACTGATTTATAAAAATGAAATAATACTGCACAGCGTTGCCAGGTGTCGGAAATGAAATTATGGATCAATGTAGATGAAATTATCGAATTTATCACAAAATTATGTTACAAGCCATATATTTCGTTCTGAGGGAATTATCTAAAAAATATAATGATAGCAATAAATTTGGATCCTATTTTTTGTACTTTATACTTTCTTTGAGTTTTTTTGCTACCACATAAAACTACAAACGATTTTGAAGATTTTTAGACATTTGTTAAAACAATATTTTTATTCTTTATTACATTGCGCACAATTGTTTACTTTTTCTGGCTAATTATTAGTACTACAAAAAAATTGAATTTACTACAATCAATTGCATCGTTTGTAGTTTGTATACAACTAAAAACATTATGTCAAACTATGTTAATTTCCAAATTTTACTATAATTCTCTAATTTCAAGAAACTTTCGTTGAGTTTTTTCGCTACTACATAAAACTACAAACGATTTTGAAGATTTTTAGACATTTGTTAAAACAATATTTTTATTCTTTATTACATTGCGCACAATTGTTCACTTTTTCTGGCTAATTATTAGTACTACAAAAAAATTGAATTTACTACAATCAATTGCATCGTTTGTAGTTGATAATAAGCCAAAAATCGAAAAGTTTACTATAAAGCGGGTTCCAACGTGACAGAGCTTTAGAAACCCCGTGACAATTAGAAGATTGTTTATACTTAAATCAAGGAAAACCTTTGATTTTTCTCGGTCATAAGTTCTAAGGAACTTTTTCGCGTGTCTTAGACCGTTGGAAGACACCCATTCCAAGTTACGGCTGGAGTTTTCCAGATTCTTCAGTTCCGCCTTTAGTTGGTTCCCGTTTGGAAAACAGAACTATTATACCTACTTTATTGCTGGCTTTATTTAGTTTGTTAATTTGTGCTTGTAGTTCTTCAGGACTATTGGCCATTAGGACTATGTGATCAGCAAATCTTGGTTAAGGTATTTTCCATCAATTTTTAATCCTTTGTTCTTCCAGTTCAGTTGACGCAAGATTTCTTCTAGTGTTGCTATAAACAGCTTTGAGGATACCGCGTCCCTTTGTCGTACTCCTTTGTCAGTTGGGAACTCTAGGGTTGTTTTGTATATCATTACTCTTGCTTTGGCTTCTTTGTATATATTGGCGAGATAATTTGTATTTTCTATATAAGACTTGTCAACACCTTGTTTTGTTAGGGCTTCTGTTATTGCTTTAGGATATGTCGAGACGAAAGCCTTCGCAAAGTCTATAAAAGCTATGGCTAGTGGAAGTTCGTGTTCTTTTGCTCTTTGTTCCTCTTAGTGTATGTATGTGATTAATCGTGCTTCTAAAGCCTGCTTGTTCTCGTGGTTGCTCGGCGTCTGGCGTGTTTTGTATTCTGTTGTTTATTTTTTTTGAGAATATCTTGTATGTTACTGGTAGTAGGCTTATTGGTCTATAGTTTCTGATGTTTTCTTTTTTGCCTTTCTTATGAATAAGAGTAATGTTGGGGCTATTCCAGTATTGCTGTATATGTTTTCTTCTTAGACAGCTGGTGTATATATTTGCTAGCCTTTTTGAAGTTCTACAGGCGTACTTAAATATTTCAGCTGTTATTCCGTCGTTTCCTGCCGCTTTGCCATTTTCCATGTCTTGAAGTGGCTTTTCTGCACTTAGTGTTATATTAGTAATGTTTTGTCCGTTGATTGCTTGCATGAAATGTAGTAAACAGTAACATTTTTATCCTAGTCTGTTTACAAATAATCAGACTTTATTTAATTTAAAAAGAAACAGCAAAATAAAACACTAAATTTACTACAATATACCAAAACACTTTACTTTTAAACACTGATTACAGTTGAGGGTTGGAACCTTTGGTGTTACACAGCAAAATAAAACACTAAATCACCACAATACACCAAAACACTTTTACTTTTACACTGGACGCGCACTGACACACATTCAGACACCATAGATAATTTTATTACTAAGTTAAATAATCGTTTTCCTTCCATTAAATTTACACATGAAATTGAGAACAACAACAGATTACCATTTCTAGATGTATTAGTTATTAGAAATACTAATAATTGCCTGGAATTTGATATCTATGGGAAAAATACCAGTACACGCAGATATATTTCTAATGAATCATATCATAGTATTGAACATAAAATGGCTAGTTTAAATTTCTTAGTGCATAGATTACTTAGTTTTCCACTTTCCCATGAAAGATATGAAATAGAAAGAGATTACATTAGGAATGTAGCTGAGTGTAATGGATATTCTCGAGGATATTCTCCTTCACTAGTTGATAAAATAATTAGAAAACGTAGGTATAGGTTAATGATTTCTGAAAATTCGACTTTTCAAGTGGAGAAAGATACGTCAAAATATTTTTCAATACCGTTTGATAGACAGTTATCCCGTGGTCTAAAAGGAATTTTTAAGAATGTCAATTATAAACTTGTGTATAGTGCTAATAATAAATTACAACAATTATTAGGTAATCTAAAGGATAAAACACCTCTACTGGAAAGGTCGGGTATTTATGAAATTTCTTGTAAAGATTGTAATCAGAAATATGTTGGGCAAACTAGAAGATCAATATTAACTAGATTTAAAGAACATTTAGCTCAGATAAGATATGGTAGACCGGATAAATCTTGCGTTGCCGAACATATTGTTGATAAAGAACATTGTATAGATCTTAATAACTTGAAATTAATTAAATAAGTCTCAAATTACAGGCAATTAGATGCATATGAAAGCATCAGAATTAATAAATGTAAAGATAGTATGAACAGAGACAACGGTCCAATTCCTTCAAGTTCTTTGTTCCTACTATTCTAGTGGCGGAAATCTAACTGTTACGCTCGGTGGGTTCTGACTCGGTTGGCTAGATCTTGCCACGCCCACTCTGTGCCCACTGAGCGACTATATATATACGCTCCAATTGTAGATTGTATTTTAGCTTATAATCATCTGCTGATGATGCTAACGTGGTTAGCAAAACGCGCGTCCAGTGTAAAAGTAAAAGTGTTTTGGTGTATTGTGGTGATTTAGTGTTTTATTTTGCTTTAAACACTGATGGATGTGCGTGTCACTAACCATGCTAGCATCATTAGCAGGTGATAAAAACTTAGTTTGAATCATCTGATGATGATCTTTTTATAAGTTGTATTCTATTTTTGTAGTTTTTATACTAATATACAACATAAAATGACCAAATATTTATATTTTTGCAGACAGCTACATCAGTGGCTACTTATTTGGTGATACTAATGCAATTCCGAATGACCCTAATGAGAAACAGTGTACTTTCCCAGAGAGCTAATAAAACAATGATTACTGAAGCTCAATTGCTATAGATTGGCGCATTGTGATTTTAGTTTCAATTATAATGTACATATCGTAATATAGATTATAAAATATTTTGTATAATTTTTTTCCTATTAAATAATTAGTTTTTCTATCGATGTAAGGAATGGTCGGTGTTACTGTCTTATTTAAAATATATTAATACCTAAAAAAGGTATTTTATAGTTGTTTCTGCAAGTTTTTGTGTAATATAAGCTGTTAAAAAAAATGTACTGATAATGAATGACTAAAATAACAAAAGTTTATTCACATTTTGTAGATACATTGGGGCTTACTGAAAAGCAAGATTCTTGTTCAAAAGGTTAATAAAAAATTGTGCACGCTTATACTACACATTTGTAGATTTACTCTATGTGATTTTAGTTTGATTTATAATATGAAAATGAAAATATAAATCAGCAATTAAAAAATCGTGTTTAATTCTTCCAAAAGCATAATTTATTTTGCTTCTATTTTTATTATACAAAATTAGATCAAATTATTGTTTTTTAGTACAAAAAAATCTGTGTTACTTCCCAATTAGAAATGTTATGACAACAAAAATAGTTTAATTAATAACATATTTTTTATAGGTAGATGTAGAACGTTCTATGTTACATTAGTACTGCAAATTTTACAGGGTGTTCCTTTTAATGACATGCTAACATTTAAGGGAGCGATTCTTGGTCCTATTCTAAGGGAAAAACTTCACATGAATGTATGCCTTAAACATCTTAATTTCTGAGATACAGGGTGGTAAAATTTTCTAAAAAAAATTTTTCACAATAACTCTGATTTTATTACAGATATCTTTATGAAACTTAATACACATCTTCTATGCATCAAAATACCTTTTTTGGTATGCAAAGAATTTTATTTATTTAAACCAGTGACGTCCAGACGGGTTTTACATTGAATATTTTTGGAGAAAAAGTGATACACCACTGACCTCTCTTAAAATAAAAATTATCTTCACAATCTCCATTCATTTCCAAATACTTTTTACTTCTTAATTTTTTTCGTCCGACGTATAATTTTTGCTTAAACAATTTAAAATCAGTTCATTTTAGGGTCTAATCGCTGAAAATCTGAAGGGGTGACTGTTGTGTGGAAATCATTTCTACATCGACTGGAAGGAAATTAAGAAATAAAATATTTTTTTTTGTAATTATAATATGCATTTTCATGCATGGAAGACGTGTATTAAATGTAACATTAGAGATATATAGAAAAAAAAAATTAGAAAATTTTACCACCCTGTATCTAAAAAATTAAGATGTTTAGGACATATATTCATAATGAAGTTTTTTTCTTAGAATAGGTTCAAGAATCACCTCCTTAAATATTAGCATGTCATTAAGGAACACTCTGTATATTTGGTATATACAGAGTGTCTCAGATTTTAATTGGGAAAATTTAATAGACGATAGAACTTGCAAAAATAAAACAAAAAGTTTATATCAACTTGTAAAATTTAAAGCTTCCTTTTCGAGATACAGGGTGTTAAAGTTACTTAAAAAAGAAAAAAAAAATTAAGATATTTGAAAAACTATTTAATCGATTTTGATATAACTTGACCCGTTCATAATACTTACTATGGGACTTAATTTGATGTAATTAGATATAAGTTTAATGGTCAGGGGCGGCGGTGGGGCATCATTTTTAAATTACTTTAAAGGCAAAAATAGGCACGCCACTGGTTTTTTAGAAGTTTAATATTATTTTTGGATTTAGTAATTAAAAATATTATTTTTTTGTCTCCTGACTTTTTTGTCTATCTTGCTTACTTCTTGCGATAAAAATTAATTTATTCACTCCACTCTGGACAATAAATTAAATAATAATGGTTAGTTACAACATGGTTACAACTGTATTTCGAAAAGGAAGCTTTAAATCTTACAAGTTGATATGAACTTTTTGTTTTATTTTTGCAAGTTCTATCGTCTACTAAATTTTCTCGATCAAAATCTGAGACACCCTGTATTGCCCTGGTCCGGCAATAGTGCGTCGGGCATCTGTAGGTCCTATAATAAATAGGTAACCAATTTTATTTACGTGGCACTTAAACATCACCTCGTTTTCATCTAAAGAATGCGGAGTTACAAATTTGAAATTATGATTACTGTTTGAAGCATCTAGTATACTGTTTGATAAATTGTTCATTGGCGAAAATTGAATTCTAGGTACAGTGCTAGGAAGTGATAGCTTTTGACCATTAAATTTGAATTTATGTTGTTCAGTCGTAGAAGGCAGTTGCCAATTAATAGATGGAACATATTCGAATTCTTTGTGACTACCCACATTGCTTAGGTTTGGTCTTGTATTTCTGTTGAAAGGTTTGGAAGACAAAAACTGACTTGGGAGCACCGGTTTCTGGCTAATGGAAAATCTTAAAGATGGGGTTGAAAAGTGATTTTCTGGAGGTCCCGTTAGCAATTGAGGAGGTGTTAATACACTGTATGGAGGTTTTATATATCCCGATTTCAGTTAATTGTTTTGTATAATATCCTGTTTGCAAAAGACATCATTATTGGTAAAATTTGAGACATCATAAATAAATAATGTTTGGTTGGACGTTTTTCTGGTTTACGTTAAAGGTTTTATCTTGATATTTTGGTTCTGATTAAAAAATTTCATGCCTCGATTGTCCACAGTTTTCAGTTAAGTCTGTAGTGTATATTATTTTTTTATAAAATAAGCTAAACATTATTATTTTCATAGTTATTTTATCTGGAAACGAGAAATAGTTCAAAATTCAATTAAACTCAAAATTCAATTAAACTCAAAAACAAAAACTATTAATAAACAAATAAAGAAAGCTTTATTGTGATTTAAAAATACAACTAGATATATACAAATTCCACAAATTTCAACAATCAAATAAATAATTATATAAGGCACACATTTTATTCTTAACTATTTCACATACTAATCAATATCCGTGTCAATTTCTTCAACTGTTCCTTTATGATATTCCTCCATCACGTCATATTCCCCGTCATGTACTTTATATTTAGCCGACAATTCTGCTTCTTGAACATCATGATCCTTCCTATCAATATCAGTGTCTTGGATATTAATAGCACCGTACCCTGTTTCAACTATATGCTTCAGGGTATGTAGATTTCCAGCTCGTGCTTGTCTGTTTTGAGATATTTTATCAGAAATATCCAGTAAATCTTTCTTGTTTTCAAAGCCGTGAAGATGTTTAATTTTGTAATCATATTTCTTTTCTAATATATACGGTATGGAGTTGCTTTCTTCTACTAATATTCCGTTGCGTTGTTTAGTGGGTTTGTAAGTTTTAACTTTCGAATGACCTTGTATTATAACATAAGCCGGACCTGTGACTTGCTCTACTGGCTGTTTATAGTGTTTAAACAATGGATCTGTTGTTAATATTGATACCATGGTAGAAGACTCTGGTATAGCTTTCTGGGTCGAATCACTCACAAATGATACAGGAGAAAATGCCATAGGATTTGTGGCCATTATTCCAGCAGAGGATGGCACTTCAGAAGAAGGCTTTACGTTCGGATTTGTAATAATGGCGTTACTAACCGAAGAGCTACTTCCAATAAAATTTGCATTTTCAAACGATGTTTTTTCTTTTTGTAAAAGATTGGCTAAGAAATTGGGTTTACTATAATCAGTCACTGCAGATGCTGGAGAAGGTTTTAGTACATCCATTGATTGCTTCATCATTTCCATATTATGAATGGTTTTAGAATTCATTAGCGGTGAGTTTTTTGAAGCCAGTGAATAAAAACTAGGCATAGAGGCGACATTACTAGTTTCAATGCCTACATGGTGCATTTGAGCTTCAGGTTTGTCAATTTTTACGTAACTATTAGATATGTCATTATCGTCACTTATGTGGCCTTTAAACATCATCTCGTTTTCATCCAAAGAAGGTGGAGTTACAAAATTGAAATTATGATTACTGTTCGAAGCATCTAGTATACTGTTTGATAGATTATTTTTTGATGAAAATTGGATTCTAGCTACAGTGTTAGGAAGTGATAGCTTTTGATCGTTAAATTTGAATTTATGCTGTTCAGTCGTAGAAGGCAGCTGCCAATTTATAGATGGGACAGACTCGAATTCTTTGTGACTACCCACACTGCTTGACTGATATATTAAGTTAGACGGTAATACAGTTACACCATTCACATTATTTGGTCTTGTATTTCTGTTGAAAGGTTTGGAAGACAAAAACTGATTTGGAAGCACCGGTTTTTGGCTAATGGGAAATCTTAAAGATGGAGCTGAAAAGTGATTTTCTGGAGGTCTCGTTACCAATTGAGGAGGTGTTAATACACTGTAAGGCGGTTTTATATATTCCCCTTTTGAGTTAATTGTTTTGTCTAATATCCTGTTTGCGAAAGACATAATTGTTGGTAAAATTTGAGACGTCATTGAAGATAAAAAATTTGGTTGGGAGTTTTTCTGGTTTACGTTGAAGGTTTTATCTTGATATTTCGGTTCGGACTCATAAATGTTGTCATGTCTTGATTGTGCAACATTTTCAAGAGTCTGTATAGCCGGCTTTTTAGATGGTACTCCTAACAGTAGCATTTCGGTTTTTTGACCATTTGTGGTTCTGCTTTCTTCTGAACTACTGGATCTTGCATTAGAATCCACCCAATATTGGACATTATCCAAGACAGGTGGAACATAGTCGAACGTTGGATCATTTTTTAAAGGGTCTCCTCTTCCCAGTGGCCTCCATTGATCATAGTCCATGCGAGGTGAGAAAAATGGTCTATAACCTAAAAAAATGTTTTAAAAATAATTTTATCTAAACTAATTTTTAATTTAAATTTTTAATATTTTACTCTATCAAGCAACAAATTTAGGTCATATTAAAATGTGACGTATTTTTAAAATTATCGTATTAAGATTTGAAATTTTTCTGTTTACATGAATAGAATATTAAAATTTAAATAATTTTTATATCAATCTAAAGTTACCATTACCTCTTTTGTTATATTGTGAATCATCTTCATTGCTAAAGGCTGGTGTTACATAATACGCTATAAAGAAAATGTATATCTTCCATCTGCATCTCTGCCTCATGATCTGAAAATACCATTCTTGATTAGAAATAAATAGAAAAAACAGATATGACAAAAAAATACAAAAATACAAGAGAAGGGTCTAGATCAATACACAAAAAAGGCTAAAAAAGTAACAAAAGTATTTTAGATTCGAAGTTTATTATGCCATTAATTTGTTGACTTTATAATTAAATATAATGATAAGAAAAGAAATATTACAAAGGCACTTAATTGTCTAAAGATTAATTCTAGACTGGTATGGGATTGTGTACGTGTTCTAGATAAGACTAAATTAAATGAGACTGGACCAAATAACTTCCCTTTATTACTACCACAAACCATTCGAGGTGAGTAAAATAGATCAAAAAATGTGGACAGATACAAAGAACATTCTTTCAGGAGGGATTACCCTGCTATTCAGATAGTTTAATTATAGTTGACGGAGTAGACGCTGGAGTATTTGAGGAAAGAGTAAGGACAAGTTCATCTTTTTCCTTAAATACTCCAGACAGAAGTTTTCGCCACTTTAATATGCGCGAGAGGCGTGAGGCACTTAAGGCACTGATGAGTCCAAAGGCCGACTCAAGACTTATCTAGAAACGTCTGGATGAACTTGGCACTCTGGCAGAAAGGAATAGAATTAAATTATTCTGAGTGTCCGATCCAATCCGTGGGTACTGTGTGCAGACATAGAAAGAGATTGGGCCATACAAATCTTATTGTTTCCGGCATAGGAATGGGCCCCCTAAAATCGGACAGGAAGCCTGTCAAAACTGTGGTCAGTCTACGAAAAGGGCTTTGCAAACTGAATAGATTTTTTAAAGCTAATGTTTTTATGAGATTAAAAAATCTATCAATTAGCTACCTGGCAAATAGCCCAGCAACTGTGCAGTTTACTGGGCTATTTGCCAGGTAGCTAATGGGATGATAAGCTACTGAAAAAAAGCTATATGAAATGATCGGTGCCTAAGTTACTTTACTTTCTTCTTTAACGCCTTCTTTTTTTTCTCATTGTCTTGTCCCTGGCTGTAGTGTCGTGGCCTGGGAATTGCATCAAGACGTGCAGTAGTAATAGCACAAAGACAAAATACGCACGATCAAATAATGATGCCGGATGGGACTGCCCTGTCCGTCAAACCAAGGACCTAAATCCTATGACACCGGGACCAAGCCAAAGTGATGCGTGGCAATGTAGAAAACTAGCCTCTATTGGTCTCAACCTTCGGGCACCAGGCGGCAACCCATTGTATTCTCGTCCCCTTTACTTCTACATGCGGGGCTCTACTTCTACTTACCAGAACTCCATTGTAAAGACATCGAGTTGGCGAGTCATCAACTCCAGGGAGGAGGGCCCTGGTTAGATTCTTACAATAAGAATTTACCTCAAATCCATAGAGGCAATAGGCAAAGAGAGTAATATACTCTATTATAGATCCGGGACAACACCGGTATCAGGTCTAAGAAGTGACCAAGTTAAAGAGGTGGAGAAAATGGAGACAGATCCTCCAGCCTCCACCTCAATGGTAGCTGAGCCGAAGACAAGCTCTTCGACTGTAAATGGCACGGAGGGCTAAACCCCAAGCGTGAAAGTGTGTATCCCTCGTAGGAGGTAGATGTCCACTCTTTGGAGGATGAACAGTTGTTGTCAGAGGAGGATATACCGTCCCCCCTATAACAGGAAAATCCCCATGTGTGATGAGTTATAATTCAAGAAAGGGAGACACAATAGATCTTTAAGGTCGCGGTGAATCTAGTGAATTTCTGCAAAAGATATAAAGAAAGTAATTTAATGATCAGAGAACGATAATGAGACATAGCTTCATAAATTCTACCATGTAAGCCATAACTGAAGTAAACATGATTATCTCCACAGAAAAATCTAATCGCTCAACTTTTTCCAAAGACCCGGTAACAGTTTACATCTGGTTTTTAAGAAAACAAAATGATTGAGCAAGTATCACAGTTTAAACAAAAGTTGTTATCGTGGGGACTAATAAAAAAGAAGAATGAAATTATTGGGCAAACCTACAGTAAGATTAGCCATGCAACATGACTACCCGCAGACACTTAGTGTTTCTGCCTTCGGGCTTCATCAATACGGGAGAAATTAACAACGATGAATTAGCGATCCTGAAAACGATTACAATTATTTATCTAGCTTAAAAGCAAGTGGCAAATGGTGCCTCGAACTTCGTTTGCTTCCCTTTTTCTCTTTTTTCAGGATCGCTAGTTCATCGTTGCTGATTCTTCCCGTATCGATGAAGCCCGGAAGGCAGAAACACTAAGTGTCTGCGGCTAGTCATGTTTTAGTCATGTTTCATGGCTAATGATACTGTGGGTTTGACCAATAATTTCATTCTTCTCAATCATTTTGTTATGTGGTTCTACCACGATCTAGAGAAGGATCTGAGAAGCCAAATAGTATGGACAAACCTCTTCCATGAGAACAGATAGCAAAATTAAAATTTATAAGACCGGCATCAGACCAATAACAAGACATATGGAATAGAAATACGAGTGGAAACAGATAAAACCAAAAGCATGTTAAGGGTGGCTGAAATGAAGAGCACTTAAGAACCATAATGGAAAAGACTAAAAGAGACCAAATTAGGAACACAGATATTAGTTAACAATGTGGAATATAGGACTTAATAAGATGTGGTAGATAGAGATGGGCGGTTATTGGTAAAAAACCGGTTATAGGTTAACCGGGATTATCTTTAAAAAATAATGACTTGACAAAATTAACCGACACAAATTAACCGGTTATTCAAATAACCTAACCTAGCAAAACTAAATATTTAGTTTTCCTATAGGTTTACTTACCTCTACACTCCATAGATCTACTTCAAATTTAGATAATAAACTTAGTTAAATCGCATGATTAAATAGAGATTGTAGCAATGTAAGTATGTAATGTACAAAATGAATTTAAATAAAAATGCTAACCTCACTTTTTTGAGTAGACATGTATATGATATTAAAACTAGTAATTACTTAACGTTCAAATAAACCACACAACTCACAAGTTCTACAATCTACAACCAAGTTATTTTAATCAAATACCAAAAAAAAAATAAGGAGACTGAATGAATAGATAATGAAAGATTATCTTCATTCATTACTTGAACTTCAATTTTGTATTCTTTAGTCTAAGCTTCAAGAGAGACTTCAAACTACAAATAAAATATATTTACGGTGAAACGTGGGTGAAACTAGGCGAAACCATGGAAAACTTTTGAAGAACCGTTGAAAATCCGTTAAAGTGGGTTAAAATTTAAATATAGAATTTAGAGAATCTATTTGAAGTTAGGTTTGTATCACTTGGCTAGCTGGTGGCTAGTAGTAGTCTATGCCATTAGTACTTTGTTTTACGGCCTGACCTGTCAGGGCCATTCGGCCGTTGTTTTGATTATTATCATCAGGGTTCGCCTGATGCCTGATTTAATTTTGACATTTGATGTTTGATGTCATATATTTTCGTTTTGGGAGCGGGAGCGGGATCTCCCGTTATCGTCGTAATAGCTGGAAGATCCGTGCCGTTCGCTTCTTCGAAATTTACGATTCAAACAGCTAATATTTAATTGTTACTTGTTTTAAACAAGTACGATTTTTTAAAAAATAACCGGCTATAGATTATTGAACGTAATGCAAGGTTATTAGGTTAACTGGTGAAAAAAAAACTACCTTTAAATAACCGGTTATTTTAGAGGAAAATACCGGTTATTCAAAAAACCGGTTACTTTTGCCCATCTCTAGTGGTAGACAAAAAAAGAGAGTGTAAATGGAAGGAAACAGGCTGCCAAGCATAGTTCTGAAAGGGAAACCGGTGGGTAAGAGCCTGGAATAGCTCCAAAAAGATGCTAGAAACCTCCAAATCTAAAAACAATTATTCAAAACTAATCATAAATAGAACTAATATACTTTTTAATCTTTGATATATGAGGAGAGTCAAAACTAGATCAGTATTTTTCTTGGCTTCTTTCAAATTATACACCCTGTATTTTATAAAATAAATGAACACCGTTTTTAATAAACTTTACGTTGTGGCAATTGGTTTCTTTTACCAAAATAGGTATTTATCGACTTATATTCCGTTAATAGGTTATTATCAGTCACAGCAATAAAATAAATCTTATTTGTTAATTCGTCACGTGCTTAAATCATTACAGCCAAAATTAATTAAATTAATGTTCTCAACTAAAGCTCAATTTTTATTGCAAAGAGGTATGGTACTTTTAATGATTATAGTCTGTTAGTAAAGAAAGGGACAAATTAATGTTGAATTTACTTGTTGAATAAGTTCTTATATTCCAGCATAATAAAACATTTAGATAACAAAAAATACAATGTATATGTTGTGTCATACGCCATGTGTATAATAGTATATTATTCAACGAGCATATAATGGTAGCTGTTATTCACGCGGATGAAGTCATAAATCATCCAAGTGAATAGCAGCCATTATATGCGAGTAGAATACTGCTGCGGACCCGTGCCGTTTGAACTCAGCCTTAGGCCTGGCCACTCGCCTATGACTCATACGCCCAGCAATGCCGACGTTCTAAGAACGAATAAGAATTGACTAGACAAATCTGGATTGTCTGTTTCTCTCGATCAGTCTATAAGAAGACGCCGGGGCCTAAGAGAGATAGAGATAAATAACTGATCGACGCGTAGAGTTACAATCGCCGCGCTAATTCAAAATAAATTTCTGTTAGATAAATTGTAAATAAGTTATAAATAGTTCTTTAAGTCTTTTAATCGTTATTGTTTTTGTTAATTAGTGTTAAATAAATTGTGTTTAAATAAATTGTGACTTTCTATCCACACGGAACCGACGAAAAACGTAACAATACTATACTTTATCCAGGACTATCAAAAAAATTTAGATAATATTAATATAAGTTTTTATTTTTAATGTCAAAAAAATATTGAACGAGTATAACGAGTAAGTAACATGGAAACAAAACATTGAAATTTTCTTTAACTAGGTAGCTAACTAATGTCGCTTTAACTAAT